CTATCGGTTCCAGTCGGCTATCATGGTCTCTTGGTGTAAACTGGGCTATTTTGGGCCGCCCTGGGCTCTTCGGTTCAAGTCGGCTGTTTTCGGCCACCCTCGGCTCTTCGGAACAATTCGGCCCGGCTCGGCTTCCTCAGGGCGGGAAGGAGGCCGTCAGAGGACCCCGGCACAGCGAGGCGTTTAACCCAGATGCCTGGCACAAACCCGCCAAAATACGCCCGCCCGCGGTGCCGCTGAGCCCACACCGTGTGTCAGGTACACATGAAACGCCACAGAAAAATCCGTCGGGGCCGCCATGACGTCGGTATTTCGTGCAGGCAGTCCAGTTACACCCACCCCGGTCCTCCACTTCCACGCCCTTTTCGCCGCCATGCTGAGAAGGTCAATTAAAAGTCCGCGACATCCGCGACGCGCCACTCCCAAGGTGGCGGCCTCTCGGTGCAGGGCTGCAGTACCGCGCTCTGCCCACAAGGCGGCAGCACTGCCGCACGCCCCAGCCGGGGGCGCAGCGCGCCTCGGGGCTGCGGGCAGGGAAGGCAGCGAAAAAGAACAGGGGCGGCCCCCGCCGAAAACTGCTCTGAAATAAATGCCCCAAAACAACCGCGAAGAGGAAAAATAAACTTCTGCCTCTAATCTAATAGGATAAAAGACAAAACAAAACAAAACACAACACAAAAAACAAAAAACCCAATTATTTCTTTTAAAAAATATTTAAATATTTTTTAAAATATTTTTTCATATTAATATTCACATTTCTATTTACAATGTACATTGATGTACACTGTCCATTTATACGTTTCTTTTTATAAATACATTTCTATTCCATATTGCATATATCCCTAAAACTTAAATTTATTTGTGTATTTTTATACGTATTTTTACATGGTAAGTATATATTTCTGTTACGATTTTTACTTCTGTAACACTTGCATTATTTAAAATAAAACCTTTGCCTCCATCCACATTAAAGCCAAAAAGAACCCCTTTCTTCTCAACTGTATTTAAATATTTTTTAAAATTCTAGTTTTCAGGTTCATATTCACATTTACATTTAAAATGTACACTTATGTATGCTGTTATTTGTATTCTTCATTACATCTCTTCCTATTATTTGTATTTCTTTAGATTTTGTGTTTATATATATATTTAGATCTTGATTGTATATCTCAATATTTAGAAATATGACAATAATATCTACATTCATATTATTTAAAATAAAAACCCTGCCTCTAAACACAATAAGAATAAATAAAACCCCAACCCTTTTTTTAAACAATATTTAAATAGATTTTATCCTTATATTCAATTTTTATATTCATATTTGTATTTATAATGTATATTAATGTCTATTGCTTACTTATACATTTATCTTTACCAATGTCAAGTTAAAAATAAATTTATATTCTATATTACATCTGATGCGAGTAGTTATTTATGAATTTTTATATATTTTTATTCATATTTTTTATATTGATTAAATATTTCTGCCTCAAGATTTTTACGTCTGGAACACTTATAATATTCAAAATAAAACCCCAGCCTCTACTTAAATAAAAGCCAAAACATTCCCTTTCTTTTAAGCTATATTTACATATTTTTATATTTATATTCCCATTTATAATTTACATTGCTGTATAATGTTATTTACATTCTACACTACAACTCTTCATGTTACTTACATATATTTATATATAAATTTATATTCATATTTTAGCAATTTCTCTTTATATATTTATTAAATATTTCTATCTTAAGATCCACATTTCTATATTACTTATATTATTTCAAATAAAACTCCTGCCTCTAACCAAATGAAAAGCAAGGACACCCCTTTATGTGAACCAGATTTAAAATGTAGGAAGTAAATTTATTTTTCAAAATTATAATGATATTCATATGGATATTTTTATTTATTTTATTCATAGATATTATATATATTAGAGAGAATACCTTCTAATATAATAATAGATCTGTATTTTCTGTATTATAGATTTCTTTTACTTATATTTATTTAAATTAAATATTTATAGAGATTTGTATTTGTATATATATTTGTATATCTGAATTGATATTTTATTTCTATCATTTATTTAAAAACCCCAGCCTATAACCTAGTAACACCCCCCCATTTAACTCCATTTAAATATTTTCATATTAACTATCTACATTTATATATCTTTGTGTATATATATATATATAATAGACTATCATTTATCTATATGATGTTACAATTATATACCACGTATTACAGTTTTATGTATGTATCTGTTATCTATATTTATGTTTACCACTCTAATGTTATATTTATTTTTAAATTTATATTTATTTCTATTTTCATCTCTATATTAAACCATACAAGTTTATTAACCCCACGCACCAGAACCACAACAATACCGTACCTTTGTCAGCACCGGCACACAGCACGCGCTCGTCCCATCGCAGCGCATCAAAACAAAACCCACTGCTATTACTAACGGAACAAACGTCCCACAATGTCATTGAACCCTAATAAAAACTCAAATAAACCTAACTGTCAATAAATTTTACATCCCACTATAAAGTAGCCCAAAACCTCCGCACATTCTCATCATAAACTTCCTCCTAAACCACTATCTCAAAAACCCCAAAAAACTCAAATACACCTTGAAAATGACACAACTGCTAATAAAAACAAACACCCAGTAAAAATTAAATCAAACCAACTCACGAGACTCAAAACTGTACAACTGACCCTAAACAGTACTAAAAAAAGTCCCCAAAGCTCTACCTTTATGCTAATGCACAAATAATAACCTATCATCTAGAAAAGTTACTTGAAAAAATTAAAAAAAAATAATTAAAACCATGAAAATAAAAAACCTAAACTATTAAAATACTAAAAAATATCACTACCTAAATTAAAAAACGTATTGCCTATAAAAACCCACCATATAAATGCCCCTGTCCCAAAAAATAAAAAAAATTATCGAACCAGAAAGAAATCAGAACTTAGGAACACTAAAACCATAGCGTTCAAGAAGTCACACCACATCCCTTATCATACACCAACTACAAACAACAGAAAACAATACAATGAATTCTTAAAAACCACCTTAAAACCACTACATTGAAAAACCTTTCAAAAATTAAAAACTGCATTTAACAAAAGCCATCTCATAAATTCACACCCAAAACTCCAGCAGCCCAGCTGGCCCTACCAAAGCTCTATGTTTATACATACAGCAAACACAAACAAAAACAAAAAACAAAAATCCCAGTAAAACCGATCAGAAATCTATGAAAGAATCCCATTGAAATTAATCCTGCCTCAAATACAAACCAACCCATCCAGAAAGTCAGCTTCACTCAAAAAACAATTTACACAGAGTTAATAATACCAAGAAATAAAACAACACACCATATACCACCAATGAATATAATAGTCAAGTAAAAAAAAAACACTACATTTTTTTCTTTTTATTTCTTAAACTAACTTCTTTTATAAGCTGGAACAAAAGATTTTGCCAGGACTGTAACAACAACAACAACCTCTTTTTCTTCTTCTCCTTCTGAAATGTCCCTTCTCACTCCCAAATTCCTTTCAACTCCTGAGTTTACATCCAAGCAAAAAGCAAAATTCGTGCACTCGTGCGTTCGCTGCTCCCGTCAGATTCTCTGTTCCCCTCCACATCTTCTCACACTTTCAGTCTTCACGCTGTCCCGCCGTGATGAGTCTGACAGAAGAATTGGCACAAGTTAACAGAGCATTTCCCTCCCTCCCTCCACTTTCCTCAGCGCATTTCAATCCATCCCAGGCCTGCAACGATGCACCCTCACCCCAAAGCTCACAGCAAGCATGCAGCAGCTCAGGCTCACCTGGCTCCAGGGCTCTGTGCCTTGGATAGCCGAGGAAACTTCTGATGAGCCTCCATTCCAATCAACTGGAATGCAAACTCACCTCCATCTCAGAGCCTCAAGTGACCTCGACCAGCCCCTTCCTCACTTCCCTGGGTCACAATGACTTCCAGGCACAAGGATGCAAAGCAGGTTCTTGTCTTTTCTCTTGAGTGCCAACAGGTCAAATCTGTAGGCTTTGACATAACTAATTACCCTCTCTTTGAACTCTCCCAAGGACACTTTTAAAGAAAAGACACAAGATTGCTGCTACAGCCATGTGGGATCGGGAGGAAAGCAGCAAGGATCCCAGGCCAGCGGCGCGGCCGGGCAGTGTCACGTCCCTGCCGCCCTGTGACAGGGCGCACGGCTGCAGGGCCCCAGAGCCTGCAGGCCCTGGAGCTGCCACACGGATGGACCCGGTTCCCTCCCCGGGTGCCCAGAGGGAAACCTGAGGGCAGGTGTCCACCCCGAGGGTGCACCCAGAGCCCCGGGCACGGATGGAGTCACTGGCCGCTCTCTGGGGACGAGACCCTCCCTGCAGGTGACACTGCCTTGTCCTCTCCCTCCCTGTGGCACAGGCACCTCCAGGCTCCATGACCAGCCTCCTTCCGTCAGCATCCAGGTGCTGTGTCGGAGCCAGAGGGGTCGAGGCTTTCCAGAACCATAGCGTCCTTTAGGCTGCAAAAGCCTGCTAAGGCCATCGAGCCCAGCTGCTGCCCCAGCACTGCCAAGCCCCCACCCAAATCAGGTCCCTAAACACCACATCTTGCCATGCTTCAAATGTCTCCAGCAATGGGGACTGCCCTGGGCAGCCCGCTCCTACGCCTGACCACCCTTTCAGTGAACAAATTGGTCCTCAAAGCCAATCTGAGCCTTCCCTGCTGCAACTTGAGGCCATTTCCTTTTGTCACGTCACTTCTTACCGGGGAGATCTCGGCACTTCAACCTTACCTGCTCCTTCCCCGGAGCTCTCTGGCTTGCCTGCATGAGAGGAGAAACACTCCCAGCACAGGAACGGCAGCTCAGCAGGTCCCACACCGAGGCAGGGGAGCAGCTGTCCTCACCACAGCTCCCGTGTCAGCTCTCACAGATCGGCTCTGCTCTGCCTCCCGGGGGCAGATCTCTGCTCAGTGCTTCAGAATTGCCTGTTTGGAGGAGGGGGAAAAAACAGGTTAGCCAAGATTTTTATCCAGACTTATCTGATGTCTTTGCCTGCTTTGCCTCTTCCTGACTTCCTCCTGCTAAGAAAACAGCTGCCTTTGGACTTCTAGGGGGAACTGCCACGTAATGCTTGAAAAGGACCTACAGAAAAGTGCCTCATTTTTCAAGACTCAGCCAAGAAGACAGACAACTGCACCTTCTCCATCCCCACTGCCTGCAGAGCTGCCAGGCACCAGGCCAGCTCTGCTCCTGCTTCCAGTTGTTCCCAACTCTGCTGCAAGAACTGAAGGCTGCTTTGGCGTTCCATTGCTCCGCTTCTCCCAAAAAATATCTTTCAGTGCCGTTCTCCCTCCACGGGAAGGGCCCTTCTGTCTCACACGCTCGGTGACACGAGGCTGCGCCAAGCTGCAGCAGCCTCTGCTCCAGCTGGGAAGGGCTTTCTTCCTCCTCTGGCACCTGGCTGGCACAGGTTGCTCACACACGCTGGGGCTGCCCCATCCCTGGAAGTGTTCCAAGGCCCATTGGTGCTCTGGGATCAGGCTCAGAGCAACCTGGTCCATGGAACCGTGTCCCTGCCCACGGCAGCAGGCTTGGAATGAGGTGATCTTTAGAGCCCCTTCCAACCTGAATTATTCCATGACTCTATGAACTCAAAAAACTCGGGGAATAAATCTGTAAAGTCACTAAATACATAAAAGCATATCCCCATCAGCATAATTTTAAATGAAAAGTATATCTACAAACAGGGAGAAATATTCTATGTATTTGCTCTTGATACCTTTCAGGCGTAATTTCAGCTATCACTTCCAGTTTTAAAATATTCTCTTTTGAAATAATAAGCAGTGTTCAAATTTTAGCATTTATCCACTATTGCAGCAGCAAAAATTGCTGACAATCAGGCCGTGTCATTCTTTATGGAGCAGAGCTGACAATCAGGCCGTGTCATTCTTTATGGAGCAGAGCCATCGTGACAGCATTCCTGGGACAGAAATTTTACAGGATGTCACTCCACAGAGAGCACCAAATTCCATATCAGTTGGCAGTTCTGCTCCTCCACATCAGAAAGCTAAACTAGGACAAGACAGCCTCGGGATTCACGAATGGCAAGGCAATAAGAGACACGCCTTAATAATATCATTACAATTTCCACAGATCTGCCACCTGATCTGCGGCAGCACAGCACCCTGGCCCAGAGGAAGGTGAGCCTGCCCAGGACAGGGGTGGAACTAGGTCGTTTTCAAGATCTCTTCCACCCCAAACCATTCTGCGGTGCGATGACACAGGAGAGTTGTAAGGGAGAAGAAGGATGAATTCCTTTGGAAGGATCATTGTTTGCCTCTCTAGTAGCAGGCTTTGCTGGCAGGATTGTTTTGCTCTTGCACTGACCTTGGCTGAAGGTGCTTCGCCCTGCAGAGAGCGGTGACAGCCTGCTGCACACGCTGTTCTTGGGCAGAGCGCACGGAGCCAGAGGGCAAAGAGCCCCCAGCAGGTCCGTGACAGGAGCGGATGCTCCTCCCCACCTTTGGAAATATCCATTAGGGATTTTTCCAGCAGATGGCAACAGCAGACCGGTGTGGACTGCAAGGGCAGACTCTGCGGGCTGCCTGAAACCTGGCTGGGCTCCACCCAAAGCACCTCTCGGGTCTGCTCCTCCCGCTCCTGGCCTTGAGCCTGGCTGGCAGCCCAGGGCATGGTTACTGGAATACAGAATAAATCAGTGCTGCAGGAAACTGCACAACAAGCTCTGCAGCTCTTGCTGTGTGTGCAGGCCTTAAAACACACCTGGTGCATTTGGAACAGATGAAAATTATGGCTCCCCCTGAAAAAACATGATTTCTCTCCTAGATATCATTTTGAAAAATAATACTTCAAGGGGTGATCAGAATGGGAGCACAGACAAACACCAAGAATAAAAACTACAGCGTTTGATGCTTTATCAAAAGGTGTGCCTGCCCTACCGTGTCGGGAAGCTGGACTGCTGGACCCAACTTTGCAGCACATTCTTGTCATTGCTTCTGAGCCACCTTCACCAGCTGCTCTCGTGGCATTTGCCGTGCCATTTGCAAATTACAACACGAGCGAACCTGGAAGGCAAAACACAAGATAAATTTACAGCTGGACGGTCAAATCTTTTTCTCCAAAATGCAATCAATGTACAGCTTTCCCCTTAAGCTGAAGTACAGGCCAAATTCATAGAATCACTCAGGTGAGAGAAGCCCTTCAGGCAGTGAAAACGAGCATTTAGGTGTGGTATGAAGCTTGGGGAGCCCTGAAGAGGCTGTAAAAGTCGACTGATATTCTTTGGAAATTACAAATAAAAAACGGGAGGAATGAATTTACAATGAATCCAGTGCGGAAACGCCGCAAGGGACAGCTTGCAGGGGAGATGCCTGAAAGCCAAAGCTGTGCTTCAGTGGCATCTGAGGTGGCAATTTTGCAGAGTGCCTGTAGACAAGTTTCTTTTCACTGTGAGCAGTGAGCAGCGGCTCAGAAGACCTGGCTGTAAAAAACACAGGTTATTGTCCCCAAGCACATGCCAGTGGTCTGGAAAAGGGTGACACTCGTTGACATGACTGTTGTGATTGCTCAAGGGGAGAGCTCCTCAGTCCTCCTCACTTCACTGATGCTCCCCGTTGGGGCGCAGGTGAATGGCACCACTGGGCTGTGCTTCACCTCCCTGGGTATATTCTGTGCAGGGAACTGCAATGCCATTGCAACTTTTCTGCTCTCACATCATTCTTCCAGAGAAAGACAGTACCTTGAAGGGAAAAGTGCCCTGTCCCTGTCCCACTTCCTTTGTCACTTGTGCTAACCCAGAGCACACACTCCCTGCACATGTTATCTGAATGTTAACTCTGTTTACAAGTGCTGTGAATAAACCCCAATCCAACTGACAAAGTTCCTCTTTGCTCACATTTCAATACAAGGCTGGAACTATCACCTTGCAAAGAACTTTCCTCTACCAGTGCTAGATGCAAAACCAAAAAGCAAACCTAGGAATGCCTGCCACACTCCAGCACACAAAGCTGCTGCTGCTGCTGCTGCTTTTAATGGCTTAGCCTGAGGGCTTTGCTGTTCTTCCTTTGCTCTGCTAATGGGAAGGACTGGGAGACCTCTTTGAACTAGCTACAGATACCAAAGACTGAGTAAACAAGTATTCTTCATCCCATTTCTCTTAAGAGTTTGTCCTGACAGATGTCTTCTCCCTCCTGAGATTTGGATTATAGTTTGTGTTTCCCTTTTTTTCCCCCTTTAGCCCCTGAAGCATTTCACACCCTGCTGGGCAAATGCCCAGAAGTAATCAGACTGACTGAACACGGGAAACGCAGACAAAAGAAAAGGCTGGAAGCTACTGTTCTTCTCCCAGCTGGCACCGCCAGCTCCTGAGGGCTCAGCCACGACAGCCCACGTTTGTGACAGTACCTGTACGCTCTGGGTGTGTGCAGCCCTTGCGTCCTGCGGCAGCCTGGAGCTGCAGGCTCAGATATCCACCGCGAGCTCCTGGATCCTCCAGGACAAAGCCAGCTCTCCCTGCTGCTCCCGTGTTGCGCTGCCTGTGGAGCAGGGAGGGAAGGAGAGGCACACGGGTTAGCACAGTGGCAGTGCACGAGCTGCCAGGCGTCACCCATCCGACCTGCACCAAAGAGGAAATCTTAATTTTCAAAACTTCCCATCATGCCACACAAGACACTGAAGCCGTCCAAATCTGGAAGGGATAGCCTGGCATGATGCCTCCCCCAGGTCATATCTTACATCAAGAGTTCTTTTTCTCCTGCACAAGGCTCTATATCCTACTTGGACAGATATACAAATATCTATAGAAACTACAGATATTCAATAAGCAATCTTAAATCATAACAGCCAGGCCTCTGTACGACCATGCTTAACTCCTGCTCAGCTCACGCCATCTCCCCGTTCCTCAGGCATCAGAAACCACTGAAACTCCCGTGTTTTCCTGGGAGCTGCCTGCCTGCAGCTGCCCTCCTCTCACCAACGGGGCCACCTGCCAGGCTCCCCAGGGCACAGGGCACAGCAGCCTCCAAGGGGAGCATTCATCTCTTTGAGAGGTGATTGAAAGCCTGGGGAAAAAAAAAGCTCAGCGATACTGTGGCTCTGAAGGTGCAAGAATCATTACCCTGGAGACATGCAGCTCACCTGGTTCATGCTGGGCACGTTCTCTGCTCGCTTCACCTGAGCATTCAGCTGGAGAGATCCATTTCCACGCGCTGGGCTGGCTCCATCTCCGTCCCTGCTGTGAGAAGGTGTTCGGGGGGATGCCACTGCCCGCTCAGCAGACGCTTCACACACTCTGCCAGCAGCAGGGGCAGCCTTTGAGGCCACACCAGCCTGGCACAGAGTCACTGAGCCATTCTGACTGTGTTAACAGCACCACTGATGAATCCTCAACCTGAACCCCAAATTCACCAGAGCAGTTCTTCCCCAATTTTCTGCTAACAGCTGTACACTGCAGCTCCTCTGCTGTTTCCCAGCTACAGATGTGTGCCAGCACAGGAATATCAGTGTATTTTTTTCCTCCACATCTGTCTGATAACGTTGGCTATAATGTTGACATTGTCACGACTATTAAGTCATCCACGCTAAAATGAAATAAACCTCCTACTTTGAAGCACTAAATTCTCTACCAAAGCAAGTGTCTTACTGCTGTCTGCTTGGCCATACTGGGCAGCTTATTTTCATTCGGACAAATAAAATGCGCTTTTCCAGTACAAAACCCCTCTCCAGCAGCATAGCACGTACCACGAGTACCTCGGCCAAGAGAAGCGCCCCCGCCAATGCCCGTCAGCGGCCCCCCCGAACCCGCCAGCCCCCCCGAGCCCACAGCCCGGGAGCCCCGCACCGGAAACACCGCGGAAAACCCCGCCGGGGCGGCGCCGCCATTGGGGCGCCGTGCGGGCAGCGCCGCAAGCTGACCGCGAGCCTCGAGTTCCCGGCCCTCTTTGTCGCCGTCTTGGGAAGGTCACCCGAGCCACTCCCGAGACGGCGATGGCTGCACCTCCTCGGCAGAGTGAGGCGTCTCTGCCACGGCCTGTTGGCGCCCGCCCAACACCCGCCCGCCCACGGCACCGCTGAGCCCACAGCCCGCGTGCTCGGCACTGCGTACCTCACGGAAAATCCCGCTGCGGCCTCGGGGTGCCCAACAGCCAGTCTGGGGCACGGACCGCGCAGCTCCTTTCTCCCGCCCTCGTTGCCGCCATCTCGAGAAAGGGTCAAGGCCAAGCACGTCCCGGCCGAGCCGCTCCCGAGGTCGCGATCGCGCCTGCGCCGCGGCAGAGACGCGTCATGGCCGCCGCCCCTCGGCTGCTGCCGCGCTCTGTGGCGGGCGGGGAAGGCGGGCAGAAAACCAGCTGCGATGCCCTCAAAAAGCCTCTAAAATAAATGCCAAACGCCTGCCTCTTACTCAACAAGAACCAAACAAGCCCTCTTCCTTTAAAACCATATTGAAATATATTTTCTATTTCTATTTTTCATATTTACATTTACATGCATATTTATACCGGATATGGATGTGTTAAGCAATTGATATAGTATATTACGTCTATTCCTATTATTGATATTTGTTTATCTTTTCTGTTTTCATAAATATCTTTATATATTGACTGCATATTTCTATACTTAAATTTATATTTATATACCACTTCTATTATTCCAGATAAAAACCCATCTCTAAACAAATAAATACAAAAACCTCCTTTCTTTTAAACGACATAGAAATATTTTTATTTATACTTTGTAAAATTACTTTCCTATTTATATTTATTGTTTCTTTTGACGCATTATATTAATATTTATAGGCAAGATATATGAAACTCGAAAAATATAATTAAATGATTACTTAAATTATTTACCACATCTACTGCTGCAACTAATTTTTTTCTTAGAGTTTTAAATTTTAAATATATCTGTAAGTATTTATGACATATTTCTGTACTTACATTTCCACCTTTATATTGTTTGTATTTATAATTTTTATAGTCAAAACCCTGCCAACTGGCAAATAAAAAATCTGCTTTGTTTAACTATTTTTATAAAAATATTTATATTTATTATGTTCATAAGTATGTTTATAGTGTGTTAAATATTATATGATAACATATTGATTTACTGTAATTAAAAACATTTTTATATATAGTATTATATTAAAATACAACATATACAGTATTACTTGTATTATGTATTGTATCAATTTTTATTTTTCTATATTTATGAATATTTTCTTTATATAAGTCTGCATATATTTGTCATGCATTTCTATATTTATATTTTGATTGAGGTTTCGTTTCTATTTATAATCTATACTTTTATATATCTAAAAACATATATAATACCCTGTATTAAAAAATATTATATCATATGGTAATATATAATGATTTATGTAACATGGATTTTTTTTACATATTCGATCTATATTTAAATTTTAAGTTTTTTATTCCTATTTCTATACATATATTTGTTTTGTTTAATTATCGTTATAGTCCTAATTGTACATTTATAATCCAATTCCTAAATAAAATGACAAAACAAACAGCACCGAATTCCCACCAATATGTTCCAAAACTGTCAAGATACCTCCAACAGCCAAGCAACTGCCAGCGAAAAAACCACACAAAACTCTTTTCGGTAACAATTCTCATCACGACAGGAAAATGGAACCAAAATAAAAGAAAACCCTATAGAAACACATACAGCAAATTGCAAAAAGTACTAAAAAAATGTCAAACCAATTTACTAAACTCCAAACAGTGCCACAGATCCTGAACGTTTCTACAAAAAAAAAAAAACAAACAAACAAAATTCTACCTTTGCACTAACTCAAAGAATAACCAATCCTCTGTAAAAATAACTTTAAAAACCGAACTAATTAACGAAATGGAAAAAAATTCAACCACTAAGAACTAAGAAATTAACAACCCAAATAAATAAATACTTTAAAAACCCACCATATAAATACCCATGTTCCCAAAAAAAACCCTGATAAACAATACTCAAATACATTAAAAGAAAACAACAACAACAAAAAAAAAGAAAATAAGGAAACCAACAACAAGAATAATCGCAAAAAGCAAGTAAACTTAAATCTGACACAAAAAAATTATTCCCAACTGAATAAACCCATAGTGCCTCAAGCTATCAAAATAAAAATACCACCTCGAAGCAAACACAAAGCCTAAAGACAAACGTAACCATAAACAATGTCTCCCAAATTACCCGTAACCATAAAACATACACTCCAATCAAACAAACCGAATAAATAAAAGCCCTGGAAGACGATAAACACACATGCAATTATCGAGATTAAAAACCCGCCGCTATGAACGACACGACGCTACCTCAAGCCCCACAAAACAAACACTACACACTCACGCTAATAAAAGCCGCCGCAACAGAATTAAAATCCGAGCCGCTGCTTCACGCTACGACCCGTAAAAACCATTGCGCGCCTTTCAAAACACAATACCCCGGCAAAAAAAAAAAAAAAAAAAAAAAACAAAAAAAAAAAAAACCACACCAACCAAAATCCGACTACAAAACTCAATCCAAAACAAACCTTTATCATCCCTACCGGCACCGAGAACCGTACCACTCAGGAAGAACACCGTATCCCTTAGCGTACACCCGCTGCAAACCGAACACAACGATGCAATCAATGCCTCAAAGCGCCTCCGAACCACGGCACCGCCGAACTTTGAGCGGCCGAACGCCGCGCTCGCTGCCGGCCCCGGACGGAGCGCGGCTCCTCCGGCGGCGCCTCCGGCACGCGGGGCCGGCGCCGTTCCGGGGAGCCCCGCCCGCTGCCCCTGCCCGCCGGGGCCGGCACCGGGCCCGGGGCTACCGGCGGCGCCCGAGCCCGCGCCCGGAGCGGACGGAGGGGCCGGCACCGCCCGGGCCGGCGCAGCAGCGCCCGCGCCGCCTCTGCCGCCCTCGGCCGGCCCGGCACGGCTCCCCTCGGCTCCACACGGCTCGCACCGGCGCGGCTCCGCCACTGCCGCCCTCGGCCGGCCCGGCCGCGCCAAATCCCCCGTGCGCCCCGGCAGCTGCCCGGGCCGTGCCAGCGGCGCTCCCGAGCGGGAACGTTCCGGGCCGGGCCGCGGGCACGAGCAGCGCCCTCCGATGCAGCAGCACAGCCCCATTGCAGCCCTGCAAACGCTGCCAGAGCTGCGGCTTCCCGCAATCGAACCCCGAAACTGACGCCGGGGGGCTCACCTCACTTCAACAAGGGCAAAGAAATGCCTTCTCCCCTTCAGTTTCGTCCCCTACGAGACCAGAAAAGAAGGGGCGCTCCTCAAATGAAAGCCTTCGACTGATGGGAAAGGGCGATTTCGACCTCCATTCAAACCCTTGAAAAGGAGGGACACCAGGGCTGCCCCCTCCATTTAAACCCGAGGGTGATGAAAATGGGGTGGCTGCCTTCAAATCAAACCCATAACACCACAGGAATACTTTTCCCGTTCCCCTTAAAATAGAACGCAGGGATTCCCTGTCACCCCCGGGATACCCCTAACAGCCTGGAAAAGGCAGCTTTTCCTGCAA